TAAGCTCTTCTGCCCATTTTTTGACTGGATTATTTTCTTTGTTGTTGTTGAGTCTCATCAGCTCTTTGCAGATTTTTGTGATCAGTCCTTTATCATTAGTGTTGGGTGCAAAAATGTTCTCCCAGTTGGTGGGGTTTCTCTTTGTTTTTGTTATTGTCTCTTTTGCTGTGCAAAAGCTCTTTAATTTGATATAGTCCCAGCTGTTTATCTTTGCCTTCACTATCACTGCTTTGGGTGATGTGTCTGTAAAGATGTCTTTGATGTGCAAATCACGTAGTGTTTCGCCTATATTTCCTTCTATATATTTTATGGTTTCAGGTCTTATGTCTAGTTCTTTAATCCATTTTGAGTTGATTTTTGTGTATGGTGTGAGGTAGTTCCTGTTTTTATGTGGGGATTTGGAAAGATAGAACTTTGCTTTCACAGATAGAACCATATTTCCAGAATTTTCTACCATTAAGTTTTTGACATGGACACTTTATAAAGGCTAGAATCAATCAGTATCTCTGCTCTCTTCCTGAGTAGACTGTGCTTTAACTTCCTTCTTGCAATTTATTAATAATTGTTTCAGAATTCTCAGTTTTTTCTTTTTATCCCTTAGAGATTGTTTTAAGAATTCGATGTATTTAGGTTTGCCCTAGGTTTTTCCTCATTCCAGCTTATATCCCACTCCTTCTAAGATTATTTTTCAAAAACAAGCCTTAGAAATTCTTTTTGTTAACATCTACTAGTTGTACTCTTTCAGTGTTTGGGAATGTCTTAATTTTGTGATCATGTTTTATGATATTTTGGGTGCCTATAGAATTCTAAGTTATTTTGTCTCAGTTTGAAGACATTTTCTTAATCTAGCTTATTGTTGCAAAGTTTGCAGTCTAGTTATTGCTCTTTTGAGGTAATTATCTTTTCTTTGGTTACTTTGATGCTATCTCGGCTTTAGTGTTCCACAGTTTCATGATTTGTCTTGATGTGGATTTTTAAAATCTTGAGATTTTGTCTGCTTCCTGAATATGAGAATTCATGTCTTTGAAAATTTCTCTATCTTTTCAGTTTTCTACTTTTACTTAAAGGTCCTATTATACATATATTGCACCATCTTTTCTGTATCTGTTAAACTTATTCAGGTTTTCTGTCATTTTTACCTCTGGACTGCCTTTTGGGTAATTTTTTCAAATGTAGTTTCCAGTTTATTATTTATCTCTTGCTCTGTCTTCTCAGCTGCTTAAACAATTCATCAAGGCTTTAATTTCATTGATTAGATTTTTCCTTTCTAGAAGTACTGTGAGGTTCATTTTAAAATCTGTCTTAAATATATTTTCAATTCTTTCATAATTTATTTTTAAAGTTTTCTTATAATAAAATTTTTTATCCAATAGTTGTATTATTTGAACTTTACTGATATCTTTATGCTTTTGCTTGTTTTGCCATCTCTTCTCCATGGTAGATTGTTTCTAACTTTTTTTGGTCAGCTTCTGTTTAGCAGGTTTATTATACTTTCTGCAGTCTACCTTGAAGTTGTATCTCTAATGGAGATATTATGTTTTTCTTTGCTAGGTGTTATTACTGACTCAGAGCCACTTTTTCTGCTAATTTTGCTGTTTAGGCATTCCCAGACCGCTTTAGTGAAAATTACTCAAGTTGAAGTGAGGGAAGACTCACTAGGTGAAATTTCTAGGTGAAATTTTTGTTTTGCTCAGAGCCCAAGATGAGTCAGACTTTGCTCTTGTCTCTTTATGCTAGTGAGTGAACTTTGCCTAGTTGCCTTTTCTTAGAGGGGTGCCCTTTTGTGATCCTGGCACCCTGGTATATTTTCCCATAGCACTTCGTACAGCCCAGTGTCCCTCATCTTCCAGTGTGTTCTTGGAAGTAGTCCTGAATGTACCACATCTGCTGATGCGGTCACCTTTCTGGTTTTCCGTTTTTTTGTTTTCAGCCCCCAAGGGTTTTCTTCACTCTCTTTTGAGCTCAACTCTACCTTGAAAAAAAACAATTATTAGAAATATGTTTTCCAGTATTTTAAAATAGCACTTTAGCAGGAAGTTTTTCAGATGATCTGAACAACTATACTACCACGAACAGTTGCCCTGTGCATACAATTTTAACATGCAGAGACTCTGCTCCTTAGGAATGGTTGTATTTTGAAGAGAGGACTGATTTCTCATTCCTAGAGGATGTGTTGCGTTGGGAGGATGGGGCAAGTGGGATGGTTGTAGCAAAGAAAGTAGTTGTAAGGGAACCTCTCTTGGCAGATGACATTATCTACATTTGAACTCTTGCTCCTTTAACTCTTGCTCCTTTAACTTTTGCCAGTTGACCAGCAATTTTATTTAGCATCATCTGTGAATGTGTATTCAATCTTGGGCCCTACTCCAGGTCTACTCACTGAGAATCTGTGATTTAATAACACCCCCAGCTGATTTGTGTGCACATCTGAAAAGCACCAACTTAGACTATGTCTGATGTAACTACCTTCTATAAAATGACTACTTCTTTGAGGTGAAAAACCTCCCACTCTTGTCAACCACTGCTCTGACTTAGTCCTTTTACTCTGGTTAATTTTTAAGCATTTTGAAGCACTTTCATGAAATGCTTTTGTACTGAAGTTTTTGAGAACAGTTCCTATTGGTGATGAATTATATTGAAGAAGTGTTAATATGACATGTTGTCATATTGGATATGACAGCAAAATCTTACTTAAGAAATCAAGAACAAAGCCTTTCAGAAATTCTCAGGGTATTTCCTTTCTGCTCAACTCTGGAGGGTAGATAAGTGAGAAGGGGACTCGTTCTGCATAGAGAACTTGACACCTGTTTTTTTTTTTTTCCACTGGAGTGTTTTTTCCTGCACACAGAGCCTCCATATTCCCAGTATTCCTTGATTGTTGATCTTCTGATTATACTTACTGGAAATATTCCACAATACTAAAGGATATCTTTTCAAAGAAAATAAAATAAAGTTGAACTGGGATATTTACTATAGAACTTAAAAGTTGCCATAAGGGCTTCTCCTGCTAGAATTATAGTTAAGTTCAAATGGCAGATAATTTATCAATATGCCCATGATGCGTGGGATTGAAGTTATCACTGGCAAAATAGAGAATACTGTTTATAGTATGTTTCTGTTTGTGAGAAAACATCTTTGCATTATATCTTATGTTAAAAAACTAATAAAAATGGTTATCTATGCAGTTACCAGTAGATGGAACAAAGGTGGAAATGAGACTTCTTAAATATATGCATTTTGAAATTCTGGTTTTTCAATCATTTCAATACACTGCATAATTTAAAAATTAAGTGAAAAAGACTTTCTTAAAACTTGAAACTGAAACAACTCAATGTATGTGCCAAGTTGGCTGTATAATCAGAGTGGAAAAGATTATTTCAAGGGTTACTCAAACGTAGTATTTTTGATCTTGCATCTTTAGAAGGAGATTCATGCTAAACATAAAAAGAACTGCAAAGAAATGTAAGACTTCTTGTAAACAATAATAATAATAATAATATTTCAAAATGGTTATTGTGTTATATATGTGAAATAAGCAATTATATGTTAGTATCAATAGAAACCAAGATTTTTAACCCAAGAGCAAAATGAGATACATCATTAAATTCCAAGTCAAACACTCTAATATTATATTTGAATTGGAAAGAATTGCTTTCAATTCATGAATTGCTTTATTATTCTTTCTCAGAAGGGGGGTATTTTCTATTCCTATCCACCGAAAAGACTTTTGAAGCTTTGACAGCTCAGTAGGAATGAACATACTTAGTGCTCAGATTATGTGTCCTAAATAGCATTTCTCACTAAAAGAAAAGTAGTGCTTTTGGAGAAGTTGCTGATTCTAGTTCTCAGGGACTGTCATATTGATTGGACTCACTTCTGCCAGAAAGCAGGGACACTATCAAAGACCACTAGAGCTATGTCAGAAGCCAACTTGAAGGAGTGCCTGTTGGCCAAAGATAGGATACTGTTGATTGTTTCTCTGTTGATTGTTTTTTTGTTTTTTTTTTTGGTGGGACCCTCGCCGGTGGCTGGGGAATGAACCGGCGCTGCAGAGGCTGCGGGCAACCTCTCAGCCCAGCGTTCAACCGCTGCGCCACCAGGACAGGCCCTGATTATTTTTATTGCTGTTGCTTGTGCTTTTGGTGTCATATGGAAACATTTGTTGCCAAGATAAGTGCCATGAAATTTTTTCAATTTTTTTCCCCCAAGATTTTTATGGTTTTGGGTTTTAAGTTTTCAATCTATTTTGAGTTCATTTTCGTGAGTGTAAGATTAAGAGACTTAAGAAATGTAAGCGCCAAATGCAGTTCATGAATCATGGTTGGCTTCAGATGGGAAAAAAACAAGTAGAAGAGACATTCTGGGGGATAGTTGGAAAAATTTTAAAATAATTGGGTTTCAGATGTTGAGATTACTGTAATTTTGTTAAGTGTGATAATGGCTTTGTGATTATCTTCTAAAAGTTGTCCTTATCATTTGAAGATGCATTATTGAAGTATTCACAGAGAAAGTAAAAGATGTGTGGGTTTTACTTTAACATACCAGCAAACAAAGTGAGTGCAGAGGAATCAGTTTGGTCATAAGTTGATTAACTGTTGAAAGTGAATGATAGATGCAGAAGTACTTATTATACTTTCTTCTCTTTTTTAATGAATGCTTTTTCCATAGTAAAAAATGTTTAAAGTGTCCTACATTCTTAGAGGCAAGAAGCCATTTCAGTTAGAAATATAAGTTATCAGAAATAGTACTTTTCTGAGAAAAGGACTCAGAACTGCTGGGTCTTCTTTTCCTAAATCCTTAAGATTTATTTTGATCTTTTTGACTCTGAAAGGTTTTGAGTTTTACTATGACAGACAAAGGGAAGCCTTTCATAAAAAGATAAATGTTGACAGTGGAAATAGGAGTGGAATAGGGATATGTTCAAAATATGATATATATGCCCACAGACACCTACTCATAACTGTATTGAAGAGAGTTGTTTTTTTCTTTTTCCTCACTAGGGCCTTATTTTTTTACAACAAACTTCATGAATCCAAAATGACTATTTCAGGCTGTGTCGAGAGTCAGAATACTACTATAATGGCAAAGAGTTTGGAGTCAGACAGACCTACATCCAGGCCCAGCTCTGTCATCTATGAGTTCTGGTGATGGAGGGCAAATTTACTTAAACTTTCTGAACCTCAGTTTCTTCAACTGTAAAATGGGAATAATTCCAGTACCTATTTCATGAAGTAATGGTGAGAAATGAATAGTTGCATTTCACCTGTATGTGGTTTAAATTGCCACATGCTTAGAATAACTATCCATAGAATCCTAATGTGTATGTGTTGGAAAGTTAACTTCAAGAGCATGGCCATATAAACAAATGCCTCTTGTCTGCCTTTAAAACCTCTTCTCAAGTGCGATATAAAACTTTGTTTCATCACAATGAATCCACTTCCCTGAATTTCTACAAAATTCTCATATTTCAGGAGTTGAAAACGCAGAAGTTCAATTGCAAATATTTACCTCGTTTCCTTTTGAACTTGTCTTCTCAATCTCCCCCTGGAGGAGAGTGAGATGTGAAAACCAGGCTTCAGGACCATCTGATTGATTGAGGTGTGTACTTCTCTACTCGACATCATCTAGGCTGCATAGGTGAACAAAAGCTGGCTTATGTCCCCAGGAAGGCCTGGAGCTTGTATGTCTACAGGGTGGAAGGGATAACAAGTGTTGGTGTGAAAGGCAAATTTGAGAGTCAGCATTTTTCATTGGAATCTTGACTTCCTTGCCTCATAGGCAGTTTGTCTCTCCTTTGCACCTGAGTTTTCTCAGTTGTAAATAGAGATGTCTGCTTCACCAGTTGTTGTTTGGATCAGAGGGGAACATGCATTACTTTCAAACTACAAAGAGCCGTACAAATATTTGTTGATATTTTTGCAGCATGTGTCAGACTTCCAGCATTCCAAGAGTCATCAAACACTGCAGGGATCATCTCCTGCATGCTCTGTCATCAATCTGGGAACACAGTCTGGGAGCAGATACCATCTGAAGGAGCTGCTAGTTCCCTTTGTCTTGCTCTCAGCCTCTGGGTGCTGCCTCTTGGCCCAGACAAGGAAGCTCCCCAGGATGTGGCCCTTGGACTATATTCTGTGTCCTTCAGAGTACACAGAAAACTCTACTCTGCAAGGTGTGAGGGTCACGATCCCTGAGAGGTGTCACACAGTACCACTTCTATGAAGACAAGTCGTTACAGTGTTCCTTAGGGATACCAGCCGGTGTAATGGGTGTTGAGATAAGTTATGAACAAAACAGACATCGAGTTTGTAAGCTCTGTGAGAACTCTGCTGGGCCTTCCACATGTCTGGTCCAGCACTGACCTGTAAAACTTTCTATAATGATGGAAATGTTTTCATATCTGTGTAATTCAGTAGCCACTAGCTGCATGTGAGTATTGGTCTTTTGACTTGTAGGTTGTGTCACTAAATTTTTTTTAAAGATTTATTTATTTATACAAGAACCGGGGTACAGGCCACGTGTGCGGGAGGGTGAGAGTACTCACCAAAGACAGAATGGGGAACAGAACAGGCAGACTGAGTGAAGTACACTACTGAGGGGAGCAGTCGGTGAGACAGGAGTGGTCTGCTCACCATGTGGGTATCTTCACGGCTGGCTGGGATATAACTGGCACTACAGAGGCTTCAGACAGCTTCACAGTGCTGCGCTCAACTGCCTGCGCCAACAGGGAGGCCCTGTGTCACTAATTTTAAGTTATATTTAATTTTAATAATTTTTTAAAAATCAAATAGCGGTATGTGGCTAGTATCTACCACATTGGAGGTGTTAAACCGCACTGGAAACATTCTGAGGAAGTTGAAAGGGCACTCATGCAGGTCAGAAACTTCCCTTCTTAAGAAAGAGCTGTCACTCCACTCAGAAGGCCTAGTTTTAGCTCTGCCTTCTGCTGTTGAGTGGATTTATCGTGCCTCATAGCTTCCTTTCTATGTAGTTTATTGGTCTGTAAAATGGGAACAAGAGGATTTAATTAAGTTCTTTAGTTTCCTGTGACTGCTATAATAAAATACTGCCAACATAGTAGCTTAGAAACAACAGAAATTTATTCAGTTTCAGTTCTGGAGGCCAGAAGTCCAAAACTGACTTCCCTGGGAAAAAATCATGGTGACTATGGGATGTGCTCCCATCAGAGGCTCTGTGGGAAAATCTCTTCCTGCCTCTTCCCACTTCTGGTGGCTACTGACATTCCTTGACTGGTGGCCACATCATTCCCATCTCTGCCTCTTTCACCCCATGCTCTCCTCTTCTGTGTTTGATTGCCACCTGCCTCGATCTTATAAAAACATTTCTGATAGTGTTCAGGACCCAGATAATCCAGGATAATCTCTCCATCTCAAGAACCTTAATCATATGAACAGACCTTTTTTTTCCTACATAAGGGAACATTTAAATTCCAGGATCTCTTATATTTGGGAAGCCATTATGCAGTCTCCTGTACTAGTAATATTTAGTTATAGTGGGTTTGCTTTAAATCCAATACGGTGGCTGTGTAATTGGGTATGCGAAAGTTGCGAAATGCCCACGTGATCTCCCTGAGAGAATTTTCTCAGCTTTCTGAGTAGGGAGTTTGATTGAAAAAAAACAAAAAAACAAAACAAGACAACCCTTTCCTTCTCCTGCCTGCATTTGTTCGTCTCTCTTTACTTTAATTGATGAACTCATTAATGTTTTCCAGTTCACACACTACCAATTTTAAAATACGCTGCTCCCTGCCCCAGTTTCCAAGACATGTGAAGGGGACTTTGGCTAGGATTTGTGTCACTGCTCTGCATCCGAGTGAGAGGGGAGAACATTGTTGGATCAGCTGCATAAGTAATGTGTCTAGCTTACCCATACATTTGAACTATAAAGGATTGGCCCCGGCACAGTCTAAGAACAGCTTGTGACTCTGATTTGGAATGTCATCTTTTGCTGTTACTTAATCAAATTTGAGAGCAGTGGTTGGGGAAGTAGGTTTTGTAAATATTGCTCTGAAGCTTTCACAATTCAACAGATGCCAAGTGTTTTCATTATTATTGATGTTCAAAGTTATTGGAATAAAACACAAACCTGCTTCTTGTACAGCAAAGTGCCAGCAATGGCCTGGGGAGGGGGAGGGGAAAATGAATTTGATAAGTTTGAATGAGGAATCATTTGGCTGGAAGATCTTTATTTTCTGCAAAAGAGGCCCGAAAGGGAAATATTTCTCACCAGAAGGATATAGAAACACAATTATAATTTAATGTGAGTCACAGAACTGTGTTGTTTAACCAGGGAACAAAATGACTTAGAGGCAGAAGACAATCACTTCAATTGTGTCTCTTAAGAACACGTTGTTCTGTTGGTCTGCTCATGTCCTTAGGTTGAGTGGCTGCCTGTCTATTCTGTTTCCCAAGGCGGTCAGTGGCTTCAGTATTAGTCACTTGCCTGGGGTTGCTTTTCGAAGAATTAATAATGTTAATAAATATTTACTAAGTGCCAGGCACTGTGTTTATGCTTCACTTGAATTAACTCATTGAATCACCTTACCTTGTAGGTAAGTATCATGAGCCCAGTTTTATAGATGAGATGTTTGGCAATTTATCCAAAGTCTTGGAGGTAGTAGGTGTCACACCTGGGTTTTGAGCCAGCGCCCCCTGCTCCAGCGTCCAGCTCTAAGTCACATACCCTCTTTCTATGTAGTTTATTGGTCTACATACTTTCTATGTAGTTTATTGTTCACCCTTCACTTTTTTTCCAAAGCCTATGTAACTGCCCTGTGATATTCATTCGTGGTCCTTGTCAGTAGGGATATATGTCCTAAGGCTTCAGCTGCTTTGTAATGTCTGAGCATTTGTGCTTTTTTTTTTTTTAACTGGCTATATCTTTTCAACCCCCCACATATTTTAAGATGGAAGAGGAGACAGAATTTGATAGCTTCCCAGGGATAGACAGCAAATCTTTTCCCTACATTTAAAGAAAATCTTACTTATTTTGTGACGGGGAAATGTTATTCCTTCAGATTTCTGGTCTGTTTCTGACTGATGAGCTAACAGTCTGGTTTTCAAAGTCTGGCACTTGTGTTCTGAGAGCTGGTACCATAAAATACTGCGTTCACGAATGCTTTCTCTCACCCAGAAAGTATTTGTAGACTCCCCACAATATGTCAGGCCCTGCTGGGAGTTGGGGACACATTTGCGGACATGACTGGTATCCCAGACCTGTTAGTGTTTTCATCAAGGGTTCTGTTAGCGTTTAGATCAGTCCTTCATTGTGTGTCTGTCCTACTTGGCTTATTTAGCCGCCTCATCCCTGACCCACTGAATTCTCAAGCAGGGGTCAGCTGAAAACACCACCACACATTTCCATATGCCTCCAGAGGGCACTACTGCCCCTGGTTAGAGCCACTGCAGGGAAGACAGTGGTTCTGTGGTTTGATGCAGTTCACAGTCGGTCTGGAGCACACTTGTCTCTTCTCTAGGAGTATGAACCTTACTAAGTTAGGGCAGTAGAAGGAGGGGATATTTGAAATAGCAGAGGGAAAATCAAATCTATCATCACCCTGCTCTGAGAGTTCGTACTTTAGATGCTCCCTGCTGAGCCTGGACTAGGAAGGCTGCTTCCCCCCTACTCTTCTTTAATCCCCTTCTCCCTACTCTCCCACCCTCACCCCCGCCCACCAGTTCCATCAAAGGCAAGCAGATCCACCTGAATGACAGCCTGGGTCCGAGGCTAAGGAGTACCCAGGGGTACTCCTAGCCAAAGGGGTAGAGAGGGGTTAAGTTGAGCATTTGTGCTTTTTTTAAAACTGACTATATCAACTCCTCACATATTTTAAGATGGAAGAGAAGATAGAATTTGATAGTGTCCCAGGGATAGAGAGCAAAGCAGTACTTCTGGCTAAAGGGATAGAGAGGGGTTAAGTTACCCAGAGCTTCACGCAGGAAGTAGAGGGAGGACTCCTTGATAAGACAGACAGGCACCTTGGGGGCAAAGGTAAAGATGTATTTTCCCAATCCTCTACATCCTAAAGCAAGATTGTCCCAGTAACCAGCCTGTACCCTCTTTCCCTTCTTGCTGTTAGCACCATAGCAAAAGATTTACACAGAGAAGAAGAATGAGGCTAGGACCCTGCTCTCAAAGAACTCGTCATGAAGCCTGCCAAGTTTTCAGCATTGTTTGGGATCGTGAAGTGAATGAAGTAAGCAACCTTTGCCCATATGGACTTTAGAGGCTAGCATGAGCGATAGACCATTTAGAGAAGATTTATAAGATTTAAAAATTTAAAGTTGGACCCAACATGTGTTGGCAAGGATGTGGAGGGGCAAACCCTCCTCCACTGGCTAGTGGAGATATAACTTGGTATCATCTCTTGAGAATAAAAGTTACCCCATGACTCAATACCGCACCTCCTACTTATACCCAGAAGAACTGTCCTAGGAAACCGACCTTGGCATGTAGTCAAAATTTCTTTGTAATAAAGGGGAAAGTCATTTCCTCATCGGTAGAAAATTTGTTTCTTAGTTTACTTGATTTTAAGTTTTTCTCCAATTTTAAGCATTTGTAGCCCACTTGGATAGCTGCTATCAGTACTAACAAGGGTTGGCCATTGAGGACAGAAACCCATGAACAAGAAGGAAACTAAATAATACTGAAAAAGATTCTGAATTCAGCTTGGTTAATGTGTCTTGTTATTAGAAACTGTGTATAGTTTCCTGTGTCCTATAATAAATTACTGCACACAGGTATCTTAAAGCTACAAAAATTTTACTCCTCCATAGTGCTGGCAATGAGAGATTGAAATCCAAGTGTCATCAGGTCAGTGCCCCCTCCAAGGCTCTAGGAGGGATACTGTACCTTGACTCTTCCAGCTTCTGGTGACCGTTGGCATCACTCCAGTAACCAGACTGTACCTCCATTTTTCACACGGTCCCCTTTAGTCTCCTTTATTGTTTAAGAACACTAGTCATTGGATTTAGGATCACTTGGACATCCAGGATGATCTCATCTCAAGGCCCTTAATTATATCCACAAAGACCAGTTCCTCAAAAAATTCATATTCAAAGGTCTGGGGCATTAGAACATACACATATTTTTTATGTGCTACCATTCAGTCCACTACAATATAGTTGCTCATTGTTGTGACTTTATAGGTCAGATAATATGGTTCTATTTTCAACCTAAAAAGTGGTTCCTGACTCATAACAATAAGAATAAATAGTTCAGTATTCACTGGAGTGCTATAGAAAGCCTGAAGTCCCCTCTTAACCAAGTTGGACGGTCTTTTAGTTAACACTGGAGAGGAGACTTTTAAAGATTTTAACAGAGGGAATAAAGTTGTGGGCCGTAACATGTTCTTGACAGTGTAAGTCCCTGGCTCCCTGGGAGATAGGCCATGTTCAGCCTCCAGTACGCCCCAGCACAAATATGGACAATGAGGCCCGGCACCAGATACATATTTGTCAGAATAGAAAAGTCTGAATTAAATTAGCAGAGAGCAGATACGTGTGAGAAGGGGAAAACTAGTCACATTTTGAGTCCATTTAATCTCCTTTGGGAGGCAGTAGATGGATCCCAGAAAGATAGCCATGGACATTGGAAAGGGATAAAAAGGGAATGGACTTGGAATCAGATAGACCTGATTTCAGGTTGGAGGTTTCCTCCAGAATAAGCACCCTGGACTTCAGCCATGGCGGAGCAACTATTTCAAATTAGCCCTCCTCCCACAAACATCTATACACCCAACAAAGTATAGGGGCAAGTTTTGTTGGACAGTGACAAGTATAAATAGACTGATAGGAAACTTAGAAGTTGAGTCCTATAATCATCCAGCTCTCTGCTTAGGGGTAGTAGTGTGTGGCAGAAAGAACTGGAATTTAAGCAGAGCACAAAGGTCACATTGAATGAAAGAAACAGAAACCAGAACTTAGGGCAACTGAAGAAGCTGAGATGGGTGGGCCAGGATATGTGTGGAGGTCCCCTCTTGAGTCCATGACTGGGAGATACATATGCAAACCACCAGGTGCTGCTGTAGGGCTTAGAGCAGAGTGTGGGCACTTGCGGAAGGTAGTGCTGGTGTTTACTGGCTTTTCAGCCCAGCTAGAAAGGAGAGATCTCATAAATGACTTGTTAATACCTCAGACAAACGGAGGAGATGCTAGAAAGGTTATATACATTAAAGTAAGGACTACACTAGAGCATGGTTTCTCAATGTTGCTACTCTAGACATTTTTTTTTTTTAAGATTTATTTATTATTTATGCAAGCACTGGGTACAGTCAGAAGCACGGGAGGGTGAGAGAATTCACCAGAGCCAGAGCGGGGAGCAGAGCAGGCAGAAGGACCAAAGTACACTGCTGAGGGGAGCACCGGGCGGCAGGAGAGGTCTGCGCACCATGCGGGACCCTCCTCCAGTGGCCAGGGAGCAGCCGGGGATCGAACCGGCGCTGCAGAGGCTGCAGGCAGCTTTGCAACCCAGCGCTCAACTGCTGCGCCACCGGGGAGACCCTCTAGACATTTTCGATCAGAGATTTCTTTGGGGTGTGTGTGTAGGCTGTCTTGTGCATTATAGCACAGTTAGCAGTATCCATGGCCTCTACCCACTTGATACCAGAAGTACAGCACCATTAACCTGTGACAACCAAAGATAGCTCCAGACATGGTCTAGTGTTCCCAAGGAGCAGAATCACCTAGAGAAAGATCTGCTTTCTCTTTATCCCTACATCCCTAGCAAAGCCCAAGGTAAAACCATGACAAAATGTGCAGTAGGAAGTGTGTAGAAGTCTAGTCCTGCCAAGGCAGAAGGACTTGGGAAACTTGAGGCTTTCCACATATCCACATTAACAAATCAGAAAACTAAGCCTTCACTAGTTCAAATTAGTTAGCCAGTAATGAACTGCAGAACACATGCCTTTCAGGAGAAGCTAACAAAATCCAAATATGGTAGACCGCCGCTTTATGATACTAATCTGTTCTGCAGTCTTGATGGAATAGTGAAAATATAATTTAAACACAGTGATACATTGATAATGGGTAATTTTTTCTAAGATAGTGGCACATAGCTAAGCTTTTATAAGACTGAGCATACAATAAAACAAATACCGAATTTCATTTTTATTGACATTAAAAAGGTGAAATTTAAAAAAGTAAAATAAATTGGAGAAGGTTATTTCAAAATCAGAGTTTGCTAATTTGGGAAAAACCAAATTCTTGTACCAATTCACTAACTTTTACACCAACATGATGCTTTTTTATATATTTCATTTCAATCTAATTGACATTTTCTTTTTAATATGTTCTTTAGGACCCATGGCTATTATTTAGCACAATATTTTTACATAGCTCAACAATAACCACTTGTATGAAAGGATATATATGTAAAGACTAAAAAACAAAACATTTCTACAATTCACCAAAATGAAAAATGTGGACCTGTGTGAAGATCCTCAAGCCCACAAATACCTTGTGATTGGCTCATATGCTTAAAGTTATTCTACTTCTCCACCAAAGTAGTCTAGTTGGTGGCAATTGTAAAGTGAATATTAACTTGTAAGGTGCTTTATATTTTAATAGGAAGGACTCATAGTAATGTGATTTTACCATGAGTATAGTGGATTGATAGTATATGTATATAGTAATACATCCCTTATTATGTACTAACCACAACATCCAATTTTCAGTCAAGAAACACTAGACGCAAGGAAACAGAAGGAAAAAGCAAAATAAACTATTAAATCCAGGATGGCCCAGATATTGGATTTGGACAATGAACACTGTATAGGAGCTATTATACAGGTAATCTTGACAAAGAAATGGAGATTACAAAAAGAATAAATGGAAATTCTAGAAGTAGTAAAACTGAAAACTAAAATGAGTAATACATGAAGGAATTTAACAACTGAATTGAGTTAGGAGAAGACAGAATCAAGAACTTGAAGGCAGGTAAGTAATAATGATCTATCAATAGAGAGTGGAAAGATTTTTTAAAATGATAGTCTTATCTGTGTGCAATTGGTGGTCTAGAAGGAGCAGGCTGAGAGGATTCAACTGCAGCTGATCTGAGTTATAGGAAATGTCAAAGTATGTCGTTCAGGCACATGGGACCACACACCAGTCTAGGGAACATGTCATATAAAGCAACAACAAAAATTGTATAGTCAAAACAAAAATAATTCCATGTTCCACATGTAGTCTCCTAATAATACTCAAGTGAATTGTATTCACAATCCATAACAACACACCCTTGAATACTCGTAATAGTTCTAAAATATGCTCACAAAGTCTTTTTTAAAATAAATTTTTAAATTGATTTACATCATTGTTCATTTTTAAACATTATTTGCTTCCCTCTACCACCTCAGGTGTAATCCCCATAGACTTTCGTTCACCACTGGGGAGGCCCCCTTCTGGCTTACCCGTGCACCATCACCTCAGTCCCCTGTGCTCCTCCCTCCCTCCCTCTTATCCCTCTCCCGCCTCCTCCCCTGCAGTATGTCTCTTATTTATAAATGTCCCTTTTTGCTTTGTTGTGTTTTGTACTGTTACTTTTTTACACTGATGTCTTATTTGGTTCCCCCATATTCCTTTTATAAGTGAAACCATCTGATATTTTTCTTTTTCCTTCTGGCTTCTTTCTTTTTTTTTTTTTAAGTTATTTATTTATTTTTAAAGGTTTATTTATTTATTTATTTATTTATTTATACAAGCACTGGGTACAGTCAGAAGCGCAGGAGGGTGAGAGAATTCACCGAGCCAGAGTGGGGAGCAGAGCAGGCAGAATGACTGAAGTACACTGCTGAGGGGAGCAGCGGGCGGCAGGAGAGGTCTGTGCGCCATGTGGGACCTCCTCTGGTGGCCGGGGAGCAGCCGGGGATCGAACTGGCGCTGCAGAGGCTGCGGGCAGCTTCGCAACCCAGCGCTCAACTGCTGCGCCACTGGGGAGGCCCCCTTCTGGCTTATTTCACTGAGCATAATTCTTTCTAGCTCCATCCATGTTGCTGCGAATGGCATGAGTTTATCTTTTGATTGCTGAATAATATTCCATTGTGTATATATACCATATCTTCTTGATCCAGTCCTCTATTTTGAGGCTCAACAAAAACAAAATAAACAATCCAGTTAAGAAATGGGCAGAAGAACTTAGAAGACATTTCTCCAAAGAGGAAATGTAAATGGCCGACAGGCATCTGAAAAAAATGTTCAACATCCCTGATAATCAGGGAAATGCAAATCAAAACCACATTGAGATACCACCTTATGCCAGTGAGAATGGCACATATCAAAAAAAAACCAGCAACAACAAATGTTGGCGGGGATGTGGTGAAAAAGGAACTCTCCTACATTGCTGGTGAGAGTGCAAACTGGTCCAACCACTATGGAAAGCTGTCTGGAGGTTCCTCAGTCTACTAAAAATGGAGCTACCGTATGACCTGGCATTTCCACTCCTAGGGATCTACCCAATGGACATAAAGTCTTTTTGACACTTTCCCCTCAAAAGGTAGAGGCCAGTGCTTCCTCTCTAGTCTGGCCAGAACTTGGCAGCTCCCTTATAATGTGTAAGAATATGGTGGAAGTGAGTGTGACTGATTTCTGAGACTGGGTCCCAAAAGGCCTTGCAGCTTCCTTCTGTTCTCCCTCCTGGATCACTCATTCTGGCAAAGCCAGCTGTCATGTAGCCCCTTTGCTGAGAACTAGGCCTCTTGCCCACAGCCATAACAGAGAATCTTCTTGAAAGCGGGTCTCCCAGTCTATCAAGGCTTCAGATGACATCAGCCCTGGCTGACATCTTAACTCTGACCTCATGGGAGATCTGGAGCCAGAGGAACCGAGCTAAACTTCTCCAAAATTCCTGACCCAGGGAAACAGGGAGATAATGTTATTGTTTTGAGTAGCTAAATTTGGAGATAATTTATTATGCAGCAATAGAGTCAGTCCTCCTTGGTGTATGTCATTGATCATCTCATGCTGAGCAACAGCTCTGAAATCTCTCATCCTGTTTCTTATTTTCCACTGTTTTCAAAACGTCCATACATATCCCCACTGTTCAGGCCATATGTCCCCCTCCCTTCAGCACTGGAGCTCTCTCTCCCCATCCTCCTCCTCTCTCACTGTTTGCTTGCTTGTTTTGTTTTTGTTGTGTAGCCTTTTTCATGTAAAACCCCCATTCCTGTTTCTCTGACTATTCCCACTGGCTAGCCAAATTTCCCCAATAAGACCCAAAAGTGGAGGACAGAAGGAGCCAGAAAGAGGAAATGTTGAGCAAGTAATGCCAACTTTTCTTCACTAGGAGGACAAGGGGGAGCTCTGTAGGCACATGTTTGTCAGTCATTTTTGCTCCTATGATACTGGTATCTGCAACCAAAATTTGTTATTTGCTTACTTTATGTCAGGTCTGTGGTTGGAGATTTAGATATGTGTATTTAAACCTAAGAAAACACATCCCAGTGAAGGAAATGCCAGAATTATCCCATTTTTTAAAAGAGAAAATTGAGGCCTAGAGAAATTAAATTAATTGTTCGCAGTCACAGAGCTGTTGAACAACAGGGCCAAGGTTTAAAGGTCTGTGTATTTCCAAAGTCCATGGCTTAAGTCCCTCTGCATAGTCCATCAAATTGGGCTGCAATCAGCTCAAATTCATTTTTAACTTCCACAAAACCACAGGACCGACTTCTCACAGATTCAGTGCCAACAAAGACATTTTTAAATCCATGTTGCCTAAATTCCCTTTTGAACCAGGAAGAAATCTAGGATTTCTCCAAACCTTACTGAATTCATGGACACCATTTTCTTTAACCTCAGATGGAATCTGAGTGGAAAATTCCTGGAATGTCTGGCTTTGGAAGTGAAATCTAATTTGCACATGCACACCCACCCACCCACCCACACACACACACACACTCTCTCTTTTTCTCTCTCTCTCTCTCTCTCTCTCACACACACACACACACACACACACACCCCAACCTGATCATTACCTTTCCATTTGTCAGGTGTTATAGTAGGCGGCAGGACCATTTGCTCCACTGGATGAAATTACACACCCTTGGTGCGTCATTGGACATGGAAACCCTTCCTCAACATGCTGAGGTTTGGCTCTGAAAAGCAGTTGCTTCTGCTGCCCGTGCTCTTTCAGACTTCAGGGAGGCCACATGCCTTTTGAAAAAATGCTTATTTTTATGATTAAGGAAGCAGCACAGTAAATGCAATAGAAAACAGAAGGGGAAATTACTCACCACCTAGTTCCCCCAGACAATGATTTTTCTTGTGACACACTCATCAGGCATCCCCTTGGGCCACCGGATTCTGACCTCTTGTTAGGTCCCTGTTTGGGCCCAGATGTGAAAGCTTTCTATTTCAGGACTTTCTGTTTTTGCCACTGAAACTTGGCTGGTCTGCAGCTGAGGCTGTCCGCTCAATTTGAAAGTCTGGGAGCTTACGTCTTCTCCCATCAGTCCTGCTGGAGGGCTCCCTGCAATGAAAGGTAGACTTGTCCTGTGTTCCATTATCCTAGCACATGCTTGTCTCTTGGTGTAATTGTGTTATTGTTTGCAGCCACTATCTTCCTCTCTCTTGAGGGTGTCATCCATCCATACCCTTTGCCACACCTTTCCTTTCCAGGAGCAAATCCAAGAAGTGGAATATGTTTCTATCTGGGGTTATTCTAGTAGGTGGATTATATAGTCAGGCTTGACCATGTGATTTGCTTTGGCCAGTAGAATGTGGGCAGTGGGATGTGGAAGGATTTATACCATGTCCGAGCAGAAGCTTTCAATGAGATTGCAGAGCTTGGCTTGGCCTCTTGCCTTGCTTGCCATGAGATCTACATGTCCCAAATTTGCACTTCCTCTTCATCCTGCATCTGGTAGTGAGAAGAACTGTGAAGCTGAGCTGAAGCCCATTTCAAACCAGCTTCCCATAATCAGTCTGGGGTGGGGTGGGGGCGGGGAGGAGGGGAAAACCCTAAGACTATCTCTGCCCATCTCCAAATGGAATGTACACATTCACTCATCCTTAGTGAGAGCCTACTCTGTGTGAGGTAGTTATAATAGATTTGAGAGGACAAACTGAGATATGACTAGTGAGGAATGCAGTATGGGAAATATGTGCTGTACTAGAACTTGGGAAGAGGTATAATGGGAACTCAGAAGAAGAAATGGTGACTCTTGACAGTGTGGGTCAGAGAAGACGTCCTTGAATAGAGGCTATTGGTCTTAAAGCATGAAGAAAAATTTCGTAGGTAGAGGGTGAAGGGCAGGGGAAAATAGCAGGTTAGAGGCTCAAAAAAGCAGACTGTCCAGGGGTCAGTGAAGAATTTCACATAGCTGAAGGCGGGTGCTTAGGAAGGAGTGTGGAGAGATGAGAAGACAGGGACTGAGTGGCAAGGGATCCCAGACCTTGTTCAACATGATACGGGCTCTGGGCTTTGCTGAAAGGTGAGGGGCAGAGTATTGAGTTTCAAGCCCCTGAGATACCCACATAAGCAATTTTTGAAAGCTCTCCCTGATGACAACATGGGAGTTGGAGAAGAAGGCCTGGAGGATGGCAGCATCTAGGAAGGAATTGCCACATCCTCCAAGAGAAAAGGGTGGAGGCTTCACATGAGGCAGATGAAGGAGGAATGGGTTTACAGGCTCTTTCGGAGGCAGAACTGTCAGAGCTGGGGACCAGTAGGATGGGGGATACCAAAAGAAGGGCCTAGGATAATTCCCAGGTTTCTTTATTGGAAAACTGGGAGAAAGGGGATGGTCTGCACCAAGACAGAAGGTGGTAGTGGGGTGGTGAGGAGGGGATTAGCAGGTTTCTGGGT